CACCAAATTGAATTCAAGCGCCACATAATTTAATTCTTGCGCTACCCAATTTAATCCCGGGGTCAGTCAATTTAATCCACAATATAAATATATGCGCTTATTGTCTTCGGTGGTCGTGTTTGCTTACACATTTGGTAACTTAGAATAATTGTTTATACAATTAGATATTTCGGGGGACAACTGATCATTTGATTCCTATTGTGATTACTTGGAGTTACTAGTCCCACTAGTGATGAGGCTTAGTTGATATGTTGATTACTCTTTTTGTAATATTGAGTTATTGTGGCGCGCTCGAATTTATTTTAGCTGAATGGACGTTTTGTTTAACCTTTCCTATTACTCGACTTAACCTATTGCTACAGTTCAGATGATACAAGTACAATTGCAATTTATGATTACTTTTTTGATTACTTCTTGTTATTATTGCTCCAATTGATCTATAATGAACTCAGTTGACATTATTATTCCTCTTTAGATTACTTCGGGTTTCTTTTGACCCATTGGCCATAAATTTGAATTAAATGTCATTGTGATGACTTCATTATTTTTAGCTAATCTTTAACGAATTGAATTTTTATGTGATGATTATTGACATTATGATTCCTCTTTTGATTACTTTGAGTTACTCTCAATTCAATTGACTTTAATTCAGCCTAAGTGACATTTGGCAACTTTTGTTTACTTTGTGTAATTAAAGTGCCAATTTATTGGTTGTGAGCTCAATCATACGTTATTATTAGTCTTGATTACTTCGGGTTACTTTCGATCCAAAGGACTTTAATTCGGCCTGATTGATATTGCGATGACTGTTTTGATTTTTTTGGCTAATATTTAACAAAAGTATTTAATATTCGCTCAATTGACATCACAATTACTTGTTTGATTATTTTGAGTTAGTATTGACCGAATGGACTTTAATTCGGCCTAATTGACATTTCGGCTACTCTTTTGATTACTTTGTGTTATTATACCTCCGATTTATAATGAACCCAGTTGAGATTATTATTACTCTATTGACTACATCGAGTTACTTTTAACCCAGTGGACTTGAATTCAACCGAAATGACATTGAGATGACTTTTTGATTACTTTGAGGTTATCTTCATACAAGCAGACTTATTATGAGCCTAATGTATATTATGATTACTCTTCTGGCTACTTTGAGTTTCCTTGACCCAATGGATTTGTCCTATTTCGCAATTTGGTAACTCTTCTGATTACTTTGCGGTCACATTCAAGCAGTTGGTCTTTTAAGAGCTCGATTCACATTTTTATTACTCTTGTCCAAATTAATCCTAATTCGGTTTAATTGACATTGTAATGAGACTTGATTATTTTCAGCTAATTTATAACCAATTGATTTATTGTGGGCATAATTGACATGATTACTTTTTTATTTACTATTAACCCAATGGGCTTTAAATCCACCCAATTAACATATTGGTGCAGTGATGTGATTGCTGCGCCAAACTGCGCCAAGAGGCTATCTCTGCTACATCCTGCTACATTTTGCCAAAATATGGCTAATCTGCGCCAAGCCTGCGCCAAAGGACTAATCTTGGTCGCCTTTCAAAAACGAAACTAAACTGAGAACCGTAATTGAGCATGCGTTGGCTAGGTGGCACAAGACGCCGCCCGAGAGAAAGTACCTTGCATCAATCGCCTGTGCGGTCTTGCATGATTTTTCCCACTGTCTCGCGTTTTGCGCTCTCGTCGTCTCAAATCTCGTCTCGCGTCTTTTTTTTTCTTTTTCTTTTTTTTTAATTTTTTAGCGATAGACGCGGGTGTGTGCGGACACTCCGACGTTAGTGTGCCGGGTTCCAGACATGCCGTCATGCTGTGTAACAAAACCACGTTTTTGCGCGGCGAGAGTTACTTTGTGAGCTGAAGTGCTTGCGCGACCACAGTGCCGTGGTTGCGCGACGTCGTGTGTTGCCGTCCCCACGTCGCTGCAGATATGGCGCCTCCTAAGCTGAAACGCATCGACATTCCTGCTCTTAGTTAAATCATACGCTGCTATAAAAATCCCTCTTTAACTCAATGACTCTCGGTGGGCTTTCTTCTGAGAGGGACCCCGGTACGTGAAAAATTTGCCACGAAGGAAAGTTGATGACGAGAAGTGAGCTAAGCAAAGAAAACAATGTCTGCACGCTGAACCTGCACAGCGCGCTTGTTTGTCTCGAGTTCAGTCGTTACACAAAGCGCTCCAAGACCTTTTTGACCCTGGCTTGCAATGTGTTGCATCAATACGCTCAGGTTCTTTTTTTCTGTGTGTCTAGCTTGTACCTCGCCCGCCAGCCTGGCAAGCACGCGCCGCTGGACTGTTTATTGTCGTATGCTGGACATTTACATTTTGCATACTATTTTGGGAATCAGTTGGCGACGGAGCGGAGTGGCATGGCTTCGGTTTCGGTCGAACAGCCGTTGTCTCCGCTCGCGCGACGAAGCACGTCTAACTGCAAGCCTGCCAAAGTTGCCCTCACATGCATGTGAACATGATTGCACAAGAGGCACCAGCCGGGACGCTTGCAATCCATTGTTTTATGTTTGCTTACTTTTTATAAAAATCTGCCACGTTGGGAACCAGTAAAACAAAAGCAAGTGTTTTTTTTTTTCTTGTTTTTTTTGGGGGGGGAATTTCTTGGCAACGCTTACAGCACTGTATACTTGTGGGGTGTCTCAGCAGCAAAAACACAAGCAGCGAATTCCGCCCCAACACATCACAACACAACACAAAGTGCGCTTCGTTTGTCCAGCACTTAAAACAAATATTTATTTTTCTAAGAATATACGCTCCAAAAGTCACTTTTTCTGCTCCGAAACACTGTTTTGGCTGCTCCAAAGGCCACTTTTGCTGCTCGAAAACACTGTCTTGGCTGCTCCAAAGGCCACATTTGCTGCTCCAAAAGGTGCTCCAAAATGGGTAAGGCCAATCACATCACTGTGGTAACAATTTTAAGTACTTGGAGTTATTGCACCACCAATTTATCTATCATGAGCTCAATTTTCATTGCAGTTACTCTTGTTCTTGATTATTTCGAGTTACTATTGACTCAACGAACATTAATTTGGCTTAGTTGACAGTTTGATGGTTCTTCATTACTTTGAGCTAATATCGAACCAATTGCGTTTTTATGAGCTAAATTTGTATTATGATTACCCTTTAAAGTGGTTTGAGCTGCTATTGACCCAGTATTTTGATTACTTTGGGTCATATTACAGCCAATTTAATAATTATTAGCTATATTGATGATTCAATTACTTTTTAGATTACTTCTAGTTACTTTTGAGTTACTTTATACTTCACTTCAATTACCCCGGACACCAGAGGGTGGCGTCGGACCAGAAGTTTTTCCAGTGAGCCCTTCTCCTCGTCCGACGGCTCTCTTTGGTGTCCACGATACGTCCGAGGTAAACAATCTTTGATTCTATTATTAATAGAAAAAATGTAGAGCCCTTTCACTTCACGTGAAGATGGAGGACCAGCGAAGCTATATTAACAACGTCTAGGACGATGCTTAGAGGACAACGTCTAGGACGACCTCAGGGATGACCTCGAACACCGCCTAGAGGACGACGTTTAGGACGACCTCAGGGACGACGCCTAGGACGACCTCGAGGACAATGTCTAGGACAACTTCTTGGACGACCTCAAGGGCGATACCTCAAGGCCGACGTCTAGGACAACCTCGAAGACAACGTCTAGGACAACCTCAAGGACAACTTCTTGAACAACCTCAAGGATGATGCCTAAAGGACGACGTCTAGGACGACCTCTAGGACGACGTCTAGGACGACCTCTAAGACGACCTCGGGGACAATGGCTAAGACGACCTCAGGGAAAAAGTCTAGGACGACTTCTAAAACAACCAACAGGACAACACCTAGAGGACGTCGCCCTCTAGGTGTCGTCTTCGAGATTCTATAAGTCGCCGTTGATGTCGTCCTAGACATTGTTTTTGAGGTCGTCCGAGAGGTTGTCCTCGAGGTCATCCTAAACGCATCCTTGAGGTCCTCTTACACGTCGTCCTCAAGGTTGTTCTCCAGGTCGTCCTAGAAGTCACCCCAGCCATTGTCCACGAGGTCGTCCTAGATGTCGTCCTAAACATCGTCCTCTAGGCGTTTAGGATGACCTGGAGGTCTTCCTAGACGCCGTCCTTGAGGTCGTCCTAGATGTCGCCCTCCAGGCGTCATCCTTGAGGTCGTTTCAGAAGGCAATAAGTGCATATACATATTGTGGATTAAATTGACTGACCCCGAGATTAAATTGGGTAGCGCAAGGATTAAATTATGTGGTGCTTGGATTAAATTGGGTGCCACTTGGATTAAAATGAGCGGGAAAAACTGTAGTTCTCAAACTACTTTCGGTTAATTCTTTTTTTTTTTTTTCTTCAATATTTTGGTGGTAGATGTTATAGTTTATAGGTCACCTCCGGGTTCTGCGGCTGGTGTTTTCCTGTATTGTCGTCTGTTCTCCAAATCTGAGATTTTTTGTTTCCCTAGGGAGTTTTGTTATTTATTCTGAAAAAAAAGTGTCCAAGGTCATAGCCATTGTGAGAAGGGTTGTACAGTTTAGATGAATGTGTCTACTGGTATCAAGGTCTTGCTGTGAAAGGGGAGTTTTGGTGTCAATTTAAACATTTTCAACTAATCATAATTTCTGAAAGATCACAAGAAACTGAGCCTAAAGCAGCGAGCAACTTTCCCTGAGAATTTTTCAATAATTTTTATTTGTAGAAATACCAAATAGCCGAAACTGAAACGAACCCGCAACCTTACTGGTCCGCCATCTTGTCACATGAGACGTATAGAGATCGGCACGCAGGCAACCAATGAGTGCCCCCCTAGTGCTGCTGCTGCGCCGCTAGGGGACCACCGATTTGTTTGCAAACTTGAGTCGGTGTACATTGGGCTAAACAGGCTCCAAAAAACGAGGTTACGGCATCGGCGAGCGACGACGGGAGCCTGCTTTGACAGACCTGCTTTCTTGCTTTCTGCAGGAGAAAACGAAGACTCCGGTTTCTGGCCCATTAACAAGATGCGGGCATATTTCTCGATGATCAAGACCCTCAACCCTGTGCTAAGTGACCAAGCTCAAAGGTATGCAGCAACGTGTCTCTGTTTGAATTGTGATTGCATTAATTAGGTTGAATCATTATTTTCTACGGTGATATTTTTCCTCTCTCTTTTGTTGGCTCCCTTTTATTGATTTGCGGAGCACTTCCCTTTTTCTGCTCCTACATTAAAGGGGTCTTGCAATCATATTTAAGCGTCTACCTTTTTTGCGGTTTCCACGTGCCTCGGGGTTTGGGCTATCCAGCGGGCACGGAGAGAGTAACTAAATATCTGTGAGTCATATTTTAACCCGAAGAGGGCGACCCGCATTGCCGAAAGCGCACAATATGCGACGTCTTTGGTCCTGGGCTTACTACTGGTTAGAGACGCTAAAAGCTGTTTAGTTGAAATACAAGATATGAGTGGCGCAAACCGTTTCAATTATTTATAAAAGGTAGTTTTTGTTCAGTATTTTAGATCAGAAAAGAAACAAATGCAGTTTATAAAGTATGAAAACAAGAAATGACCCGTCGACATACCCGCCACCAAGCACTGGAAAAGGCGGCCATACTAGAAAGGTGTTGGCGGCGAGCGTAGAAAGGTCCCGGATGTACGCGGCGGCGCTGCGGTCATATCGAGTGGAGGATCCGACCGGTTCCGAGCGTTCCCAAGGCCTTCGGTAACCAGCTTTGGCTTGTAGTTTGATTTTTTGGCGGTATGGCAGCACGAAGTGGCTTCAGTTCTGAACTGATCTTTACCCCGTGTTTGCTGTCGTTTGTGGTCAATGAAGTGTCATGCCAACTTAGTGTTAAATTGCGCAGCAAATGCAATGCGAGCCACCCTGGCTGCCCGCTTCATACAGCCTAGCCAGAACACGCTTTAGTGGCACCCTCTCGAGCCATTGACATGGAATGCGGCAGCCGTGAGCACTTGTTGAACTCACTACCCCTCCTTTAGTTCACGGCCACTCAAGCAACCAAGGGCGTCATGAAGGAGGTTATTTTTTGCTTGTTTTTGTAATTTTTATTTCCCTATAACTTTTAAAATGAAGCGAAATTCGAGAAAAGTTTCATTAAGTTACTACGTTCAGTGCGCTCAGGTTCAATGCAAATAAAAAACAAGTAAAAAAGGTCCTTGCAGTGCCCCTTTAAACTGGATTGAGGTTGCGGTATTTATAAGCAAATATACAATAGGCCGTTGACGACTGTTAATAGCGGCAGATTTTCCGAAACCTTGGGGTTTTGTACGAGAAAAATAATGTGTTCGGCGTCCTTCTCTCCGAACCTGCGAGGATAGTCCTACCATAAAATACCGAAGTGCCACCACACTTGCAGAATTCCTAAGTTGGGAAATGCTAATAGGTGCTTGTGTGGTATCTTACGGTAAATACTCTTTGTATTTTCAGAAATAGACTCTCGGAAACTAAATAATATTACCAGTCCCACACTCAATGAATTCAAAAGACTTGTTCCGAGTATTACATAGCCGTAATGTGAAAATTGTGCAATGTCCTTGGAAGTTTGTAGCTTCAGCACTAGAACCGCTAAACAGCTAACCTTCGAGTACAGTCGAATTTCGTTAATTCGAACTCGAGGGGGACCGAAAATTTGTTTGAATGAAGCAAAGTTTGAATTACCAGGAGTTTCCTCCCATAGAGATGCATAGGCTCGGACCTGCACGTTAGTTTGAATTATCCACAAGTTTGAATTAACGAGATTTGACTGTATCGACACTATTTCTCGACCGTGCCGGGGCTGCCACCATTCTCTCGCCTGGCGCAGAGCGAATGCAATTGGCGATAGCTACAATTCTAAAAGGTGACTTTCCTACCATCAGATGTGGTACCGGGAAGCTTGGACGACATCACTTCGTTGCAGACTGTTTTTGAACATTTCTGGATGACGGCAAAGGTTTACTTTGATTTCGGATTGCGGGAAAGGTACATACAAAGCGTTTGGCTTAACCAAACGCAACAAATAGTCTACTCTCCGCTCAAGGGGACAATGGAACGCTCTTAATTAGGCGATATTCGAAATAAAAAATAAACACTCGCCCAAACAAAGTGTGTTTTCTTCGACACTCGCTCGGGAGAAGTGGCCAATTGCATCGTCTCCAGAATAAAATCCAGCCGTCCGGTTCGTGAGGGAAATGAGCAATGCTAAGGAAATGTGCAGTGCGAAGCGGCGCAAGCAGCTGCTCTCGCGGCTTGGGGGCACGAGCCCGCAAAACACTACCGTCTCATGCTGACTGCTGCGTCTGCAAGACGCGACCATACGGGCGGCGCCGTAGTGGCCAGTTGTGCACGAGCCATCTCTGAATAGGAGCGTCTGTCGGCGTCTGACTATGCGCACAAGCTAGAATTTAGCGCAAAGACGGTGCCTTAAAAGATAAAATGAACAAAAAAAAATGCTTATTGCATATTTTTTGTTCATCTTTTTTTTTCGATAGACTGTTGAGGTTGTCTATTGAAATGTTAAGGATGCGTTTTTTTCAGCCATTTTGTTTTGTGTTGTTTTCTTTCATAGCACCCGTGAGCAATGTGAGGGAGTGTGATGACGCGCAATGGAAACGCGGCCTATGTTAGAATTTTCACGCTTGAGGTGCTGCTCAGAACTTCAGCACTACGGGCCTATTCCCAGAATTGGTGCACGCAAAACAATCCTTCGAATAGGCCCGCTAAATTATCCCAGCACCAAGAAGCATGCTGCAAGTGTAATTACCTGCGCTAAAGCAGAAATCTTAAGAAACGGCGCTTTGCACATTATTTCGGAAATGCCTTATTTCAGTTAATCCCTTAACGTTTCCTATGGATTATTCTAACGCTCGCGTACTGTGCTGCCATGAGAAAGGGTTCGCCTCCGCAGCCTGCGCTAGTTCTCCCCTCCCCATTTCATCCTAAAGCATTCCCAGGGACAAACAATATTGCTTGGCGCAACGCAGCTCTGGGCCAGCATTGAATAGAGAATGGCAGTGCAACCAGATTTTTTTTTGGTACGGCACCTGTCCACTCTTCCAGTTATTTTTAAGCTCATTGTCGACCAGAAACTTGACTTCTATGAACACAACGCTCGTAGGCATGCTGCACCAACCCGCCTGCACAAAACAAAAATTATGCCGCTAGAAGACCATGCGAAAGAACAAGTCAAAATGACGTGAAACGAAACATGTGCCAGCGATCCTTGGCCGCTTGGCGGTGGCTCGGTGCAACCAATCTGCGTACGAGTAGTTTTCTATCGTTTTCATTTTATTTGCTCTCTTTGCCTCGCGCAACAACTTCCCTCTTCGGAGCAGTGCATTACTGGTGCGCTATGATCGTAGTGCTTGTTGGGCGCTGCGGTGCTCGCTGGCCCAACGTAGGCTACGTTCGCCAGCATCGGTTGCGCGCACTGATCGGCGGTTGCGCACTACCAGTCGCACTTTTAGCAGGCCGCTTCGAGCTAGTATGTACTGAGAAGCGAAAATGGTACACGATAACCGATACATACACGATAAGTGACTGCCGCTTATGCGGACATTGCATACATTAGGTTTAATGGCTACCGGGTCGGAAATTGGACTCGACTGCGTTTAAAGCGAAATGACATGCGGGTATGTATTAGTGAGGTTCTACCGTATACAGTAATCTCTCGTTAACTCAAACTAGGCTATATCGTTTTTAATTCAAAGATTTATTTTTCATCGAATGAACCTATAGGCTCGATGCATTTACTCGTCGCTCATCTCGAAAGGTTTTAGGATGGACCTCGGATATCTCGAAATCTAATTAACAAAAATTACGAAAGGAAAAAACTGTGTAGAGCACAGCGAACAGTGTATAGTGGCCCAAACATTAAATAATAAAAAAAAATCTAAAACTAAAAATAAAAACATTAAAAGAAATTTGCAATCATTGCACGTGCGCGACAATGCGCAAAAACAAAACAAAAAAAACACAAGTCCGGCGTTCACAGGCACGGAAACGCCCGGACCACCGTGCATCTCAAAGACGTTTGTTGTTTTACCTTTTTAACGCGGAACATGTTATATGGCCAGCACCTAGCCATATTTGGTCAGGTGCCAGCAATGCAAGTCGGCAGTCCAACTGCCAGCCGCAGCGCTGTTCTCCTCTCATTGGACAGCAGTGCCAGCCGAACCTCCTCCTCGAGTGCTTCCGTGTAACTCCCACCAGCAGGGGGAAAACATAGTATGTCGACTCATAGAACGGCACTCTGCTCCGTGAAACAAGCACGCTCCAGGTTTCCCCAGGAAAGAGGGTGAAAGGGAGAGAGGGACAAAAAAGAAAATAAACTTTGTTGCTAATGTTTGGTTGGTTTGGTTTTCTTTTGCTGCGAGCTCGGTGCTGTCGCTTTTCCATTGTTTCGTTTTCCCCACCGAGAAAGTCAAGCATACGCCGCAACTAGAGAAAATGGCACCCACAAGCGAGATATCCACGGAGCGCTCAAACACTTATTTCGCGCGACACAGGGCCGCTTCCTGCCATCCGGTCTCCACACGTGTACGCGGTTTCTCCACACTAATGGCATCACATTCTGCATTAGCACTGCCTTTGCCACGATAGTACGGCAGAGGGGCGACTTTTTACGTCCCAAATTTCGGCTTATTGTTTGGGGCCGCCGTTTCTCTCTCTCGCACCCAACGTTACCTTCCGCTCTTCGTTTTTCTTAATAAATATTTTTTTTTTTGTTTTGTGTTCTTGTTGTCTTGTTTCTTGAGTGTTGCTCGCCGATCATTTTGTGGTGTTTGTTTTCTCCTCGCTGCACCATGGTAGTGAGTGTCAAGTATATTGGCGCGGTTGTTAGAAGCGTTCCATTTGCCCCATGCGCAATCGGTGCAGCGAAGATTTGGTGTCTCGAAACTCTTTATTTCTCTTTTTTCTTCAGTTTTTATGACTTCGAGTCATTGAGGGGTTACTGTAGCTTCAGGTCATTGCTAACGATGATTTTACAGTTTCTTGAGCTACCCAAGCTAAAAACATATTCCGAAAACCTGGGCTTTTCGCCACGCATATTTATTATCTAAAATCAAAATACCTATTGAGAAAATAGATAATGAGGGTTATGGCAAAGACATAGTTCGAATTTCCCTGCATTCTCTAGCGGCGTAACGTCTCGCGTTTATTTGGGAGTCGAGTGGGCAGTCTAAATAAAATTTTTGGGCGTGTCTTTTTTTTTTGCAGGCACACAATTATTTGGCGTTTATTTTGCGCAATCGGACTTGTGGCCTGTCAAGAACACGCTGTGACAGTTCATAGTGCTTGGTATCACAACATCTGGTGTCATGTTGTTTTATGTGTTACAGTCAAACCCATTTATAATGAACTTGGATACAGCGAACGATTTCCTGTATGGAACACGCAAAACTCTCCGATCGATATCCGCGCAAAATATATCTCGCTTAACGAACCGCGCATTGGGTATATTGAACTACTAGCCCTCGCGAATACCAGAAAAACGGAGCGGCTCCGGGTGCCTGTGGAGTCTGGCTTTCTCGCAATGCAGAACCGGTTCGCACGCTCTTCGCCTCGCATGAACGATTGAGGCAGAGAGAAAAAGGGAGCCCGCATCCTTTGACCTTGGGTGGCAAGCGAACGGTCACTGCCCAAGGTCAAAGGACGCTGGCTGGAAGATAATCCCTTCCAGTTCGGCCGAGAACTCGACGTCGCTCATGCCGAGGAAATCTCTTCAGCGTTTTGCAGGAGTACTACCGATGCCAGAGGAACGTTTTCAAGCGCGACGCTGCTCGGACGACACTGCGTCTCTTGGAGAGCCTGGTGCGGCTGTCTCAAGGCAAGTCCGCCGGTCGACCAGTCTTCGTCTCCGCCTTTGTGGTTCCGATCGAAAGCTTCCGTACGGAGAGCGAGTCGACCAGAGTGCATATCTCCGGGAAAGATGGAGAAGAGGCAAAAGAGTGAGCAGAGTTGATCATGCTCCACTCAGCAGATGAACAAGGGGCATATTGGCTGTCAATTCTTCGTTTATTGTAGGGCCCCTGGTGGTCGTGGGTCGACAAAAACGGCGCACCTTTCCAACCATGGTAAAAAAAAACGGTGAAAATGCCCGTGCAAAAGTTGGAGATATGGTTGCAAAAGAAAGGGACCTAATAATGTCAGGTCTCAGGACCAAAAAGCGGAAGGGCCACGTGTGGTAGGATAGGCCCTTCTTTGATGAGACAGAACGGCGTAGGTGCAGTATTGCAGTCTGGCGGAGCCTCTTGCTTTTAAAGCAGCTATGATGCTCTTCTCGAGCTTGCTTTGAGCCGGTGCTCCCGCATCACACTTTACTGCTTCGCTTTGATGTGCACACATGACGCTTCACCACTTTGCATTGCCTTTGGAAAAACGTAACACGAAGGAGCATACCCGTGGGGCAGGGTTCGAGAGCGCACCGCCGTCGGTCGATCATCAGCGCCACCGTGGCCAAACGAGACAACACTGTGACGGCTGAAATCGGCAGCGCCGTGGGTGTGCCCTCGCCAGACTAAGTTATTACCAACTCGGCGCGTTGTGTTGTCGTTCGCTACGCTACCGACTCTTTTAAAAATGTATAAAACATTAATATATTAATGTATATGGATGTGTGGCTTTGTGTTTCTAGCATTAGAAAGTTTTAGTAGGTGTCTTCCCCGATGGGTTGAGACAACCCATTGAGAACGCACCTACTAAAAGCGTTCCAAACAAGACGTATTCTGATTGGTCTAAAATTTTTTTGTTTCTTTTTTGTTTCGGAGCGCATCAAAGCGCGTCTCTCGGCACGAGCTCTTGGCATTGGCAGTGCTACGACGGCATTTTGTTATAGGCTATCATTTCTCCAGGGAGCACGTCCAAGTGGGCATTGGGTACTACAAAAACCCCAAGTTTAGAGCGGGTTATTAATGCGGTGGTGTTGCTCGGGGCTCAAGTCTCCACTTGGCATGCAGCGAACACAGGTTCAAGTACCACGGGTGGCGGGCAATCTTTTCGAGGATTTTGCAACATCATTGATGGATGCCCTACATCGCCAAGTACAACATGAACAACTACTACTACTTAAACAACTTGAACATCAACATCGGACGTCATTTCAGAAGAGCCCGTAACAGCTATCGCCATGAAAGTAATATGCGTTGCGGTGAAAAGAAGCGACGACTATAATTTTGGCAAATGAGCGCGTTTTCATCCGGGCAAGCTAGCCAACCGAGGTCAATGAGAATAGTTTCTGACCCTATACCTAGCACCACCGCGCTATAGAAACAGCCTCTAGCAATTTTGTTTCCTGCTTTGAGCCTGCTTTCCTTCAAGCGAGACAGTCGGGGAATGCGGAGCACAAGTTTGTCTGCTTCTTTTGCAGGGGTTGTGGTGACGTCAGAACGCCGAGCTCCGATCCCAAAAAGGATGCGGGTAGACCTCAAAGCAAGCACGAGGTCTACCCACTATCCTTCCAGTCAGAGTCAATCGGAGCTCGGCGTTCTGACGTCAATTTAGCGGACAAACTTTTGCGCTCCGCTTAGAGGGTGAGGACCAGGGTGTCGAACCGGAACCGAACCGAACTGAAAACCGGAACAGAACCGTTATTTTGAGCCGAACCGGAACCGAACCGAAATCTTCGCCGCCATCTTGAAACTGAACCGGAACCGAACCGAAAAAAATATAACAGTAACCGGTTCAAAACGGTTCGAGATAATTTATTTTTTTTGTATCACAAAATGAACATATGGGTATAAAAAAACTGGCAGCTGTATTTCTATCTATCGATCAAATCGTCATATACAGAATTGCAATGTATGGTAAATTGTGGGTTTTCGTGGCGCTTTTCTATTGGCACTATGATTAACCAAGTGTCACGTTCTCACGTGACGGCATGATGTCAGTACATGCTGTCAAGTTATGTCACATGACCTCGTGACGTCACGTGACCCACCGCGTCAACTCGATTTAGTTCGAGAAAGCCACCTGAGGCCCTAAACTAGTCGAACACAAAGTTGGAGCCCAAAGTTAGCAGAGCGCGCCGATTGGACGCCGCCGAAAAAAGCGCCAAGTCATCGTCGGGATCGTCCAATCGGTGCGTTCCGTGAACTTCGGCCCAAACTTTGTGTTCGACGAGTTTAGCACCCCAGGGGCCCTAAACTCGTCAAATACAAAGTTGGAGCCGGAAGTTCGCAGAGTGCACTGATTGGACGTCGGCGACAAAAGCGCCAAGTCATCGTCGTGATAGACCAATCGGTGCGCTCCGTCAACTTCGGCCCCAACTTTGTGTTTGACGAGTTTAGGGGCCCAGATGTATTAACCTTGCTGACAGCATGATGTAACATGACATCACGATTTCGCACAGAAAGTCACGTGACACCGTGACGTAAACGATTTTCACAACCTTTAGTCGAGTGCTCGGGTTCATGACAATCAGCATCGCTAAATATTCGGATGACGGCTCATGTCAATTAAATATGATAATAGCCCAACTCTAACAATATCTGAAGCTCAGCCCAAGCTTTTGCTTTCCAAACCCTAACCGCCTAGGGCACGACTATGACGAACACTGGTAGCATAAAATTAGCGTCAGATCACGTGGCCACTTGTTCAAATGGCGAGTTGGGTAGGGGATCGACAGCCGTCTTTTTTTTTTGCATCTGCTATTGCGTGGAGGGGGGAGCTAATGAATGTTTTCGCAAGCTATCGGCGTCAGGGGTTACTTCTTAACAGTATTTATTGAAAAAGTACCAAAAAAAAAATGTTTCCAGACCAATTTTACATCATTAAGGCACCTAAACATTTTTTTCGTTCTTGCTGAACTGCATCCGAAAGATGTCCCCCAGAATAGAAGTATTGAAATGACTAAATGCGACTTATTAATATGACGTTACATAGAGCTACACGTGTGTACGGAAGGAATACTTAAAAAAATTTTTAATGACCTTAGAGGGACAGCCGAACAATGGCAGTCGCTGTAAGTCTCACACAAGCATCATCCTCAAGTTATTGCCCAAATTTCGACCCCCTCTATATTTAGCTTAACAGAGCTATAAAAAAATTTCCATGCATCACTATAGATACTACTCAGGATCACTCCCTAACGTTAATAACTGATCGAACTTGGCTTTGTTCTTTTTCCTAGGCAATGGCAGCCGCCAAAAAATTCGAGAAATATGAGCATCGTTCATCCCCTCAACTCGGAGCCAGAAGCAACCATGTGGTCTGGTGCCTATCTTATGCCGCCAGTTAACGTTAAAGGGACACTGACACCCCCCAAAAAAAATTTTTTATTTTTTGTTAGGCGCTTCATTATGGTGTCGGAGGACTACCCAATTAATATTTTGCAACAGAGTAGCGTATTTTTTTAATAAAGCCAAAAGACGCAACTGCTCGAAACCGAAACCGAAACCCGACGGAGGTCGGAGAAGTGGAGAGAAGAGTGTGAGTGGCGGAAGTCACATGGCTACACCCGACGGTGCGTTTTTTTTTTTTGTGTTTTTTTTTCTCCTCTCCGTAGCAGACGACACGACATGCGGCGTGCGGTGCGGCGTGCGGGAACTGCTCGCCCTGCAATTCTTTTGCAGTTATGTTTGTTCCGCTCGTTGTTCTGTACTCCAAGATGAGTTGTTTTGTACATTGAGGAGTTGGAGATGAGTAGTGAGTGCCCGTGGTGAATTTCCATGATCGGCTCCGAAAAGAATACACCCAAAATGTTGCGTGAAGAGCTGGCTCACATGTCCTGCATCCGAAAAAAAGTGGCATTGTGCGACACAGTTTCCGAAAGATCAACGGGATCGGGACCAATGGCTGGCTGCAATTCCTGTAGAACATTTACGGGCACCTCGGAAAGCAGACGCTACCTGACTTATATGCTCCTTGCATTTTGTGGAAAGTGATTACATTGAGTTCGCAGGTGTCAAAATGAAAATCCCATACCATTTAATTCAGCGAAGTATCGTCCACAACATTTGTTTGTTATTTTTTGTTTTGTTTCTTCAGTGATGATTGTAAAAAAAAAAAGAAAAAGATATGTAAACATTAAAAAATGTTTGAAAAAAAAAACAATAAATGAATAAACGGGGGATCGAACCCGGTCTTAAAGCGTGTGAACCGGACGTCTTTCCCACTGAGCTACTGGGGCATATCGATTCTGGAGGATCTCTTTCCTTAGTAATGATTCAGCCGGTAGACTGTAAGTTGGAAAGTTGGCTGTCGATTTTTCTCTAGCAAAAGCACTCCCGGGTCGAAGTCGGGAAGCACCACGCTTTGGGGACATTCGCACCTAGTAAAGAAATCGTACGCGTGCATATTCAACTCGAAGTAGACACGTCGTGCTTGACGTTTGCGCGAGCGATGTCTTCAGTCACGAGAAGGGAGCGACGGCGAGGCGACGTCTTCGTGCAAATCGGCTTGGTGGCCGGAAGTGTCGTACGGGATGAATACCAATTCTTTGGATCAGTCCCAAATTTCTCTTTTAACGGTAGACAGAATTCGCCGGTACCGCGAACGACAGTTCTGAAATAGCTAGAGGTCCCACGCCCGTCGTCCGCTGCCATCGCCGTCCCCGCGAGACCCACGATACGCGAAACGACGCACGCACAGAATGCTTCCGGTTCTCTGTGGAACTTTTTTTTTCAATCAACGTATTTGCAGCTTTTTAGAAGCCACAAAAAATGGGTTTCATATTTTTTTCTATTTTTAATGCTGAGTGTGTGCCTTCAGTGACCCACGACTTTGATTAAATTTGGTGGTCGCATCGATACCTTAGAAAACGGCCCGTGACCGCGGAAAAAGAGAGTGAGCGAGACTCGAACCGGCCAGTTCTTGATCGGCGGTTTTCGGGCGGAAAGAAACCGAATTTCGAGCCGCAAATTCTGTTCTAGGTAGTTGAGCTCTCATATGTCACGTACAACCAAAAACCTCGGCGAGCATAAATACCCTGTCAGTGTCCCTTTAAGAGTTCGGCTATTCTGACCACCACAGTGGTTGGACACGAGCCACTACCCAAGTGTCCGCAGAGGCATTGATTGTTACGAGCCGATGTAGAGTGCTCAGGTAGTTCTTCTGTCCAATCCATGAGCCGCGCTCGACTATCGACAAGCGGGTGGTTTTGATCCCACAATGACGACATCAATCTTTGCAAAGGCAAGACTAAAAGAAATAGTCTCATTTTATCCTCGCAATTTCACCACGGCAAAGAAGCGTCTGAATCAGTGCCGGTCTGTGCGAGTACACTTGGGCCAGACTAGGACCAGTACGCCTCGGAAAAGTCATGAACATTCCAACCCGATATCGTTTTAGGACCCCTTTAACTTCACGGGGTGCAAAATAAAAGTAATGAAGGGTTGCGGTTAACAAGTGACAAATAAAATTTTCGAATTAGCACACACAAACGGAGGAGGCAATTCCTCAGGAATACGTTCAGCCTTTCCACTCTGGTGAAGAAAGAAGACTAGTGAAGCTGTATTATGGTGGGAATGAAGTATTGGCCGGCCACAAGTCGGCAAGCCAGAGTGGAAAGCCTGAAGAGGTTACCGCCATCTACGCGCGACGGTGGCAACCAAAAAACCGGCCAGCCGGTTGTCTGGTTTCCGTCGTCACTTATAGAGGGCGGTAGCTGTCCAGAGTTTAGTGTCATCATTTGTTTGCTGACGGACACGATACTGTGGAAATTATCCCTTAACAGCTCCGCTGTAAAAAGGAGTGTGTGTGTGTGCGTGTCTTTGTGTGTGTGTGGGGGAGAGTTAGTTTTAAAAACATACTGTGCCGTAAAGGTTCCTTTTCCCCACATCTTTGGCGCAGACCAAAAAGCGTTACCCCGGAAACTACTTCGTTTGCAAAAACGCTCTTGCCAAAAAACGCGTTTTTGTCGTGCCAGACGCTCGCGCCTTTCCTCACGACGATGCACTAAGAATAATAATACATGCTTTCAAATCTTGGATTTCACTTAGCTTGAACCTCCTGCAGCGTGATTTTGCACCATCGAATTCGATTTTCTCAGCAAGAAGAAATCACAATGACCACCAGCCTATAGTGTGATGACGTCAGGTGCATACCATGTTAAACAGTTCAGCTTTCTGGTGAAATGTGATGTTCGCAACACTAGCAATAGATGTCCTAATTGTAAAGTTGTGCAGTATTTATAGCAGTCTCGCGATGATATACGGCAGCCTAGAGAACTGTTAGAGCGCATGACTATTCAAGCATAGTGTTGTAAAGTGAGGGCCCAAAACAATCGTAAGTGAAACTAAATATAACATTAGCCTCCCGAAGCAGTATTTCGCGAAGTTTCGAGCTCTTGCAAGCTGACGAAATGTGATTTATACTGATATTTTAGGAATCTTCGCCTGTCCTTCGCGCTATTTATGTAAAATTATGAATTTCATTGCGTGCATCTTTACGCATCTCTTTTCGCAGTAAGGCGTTCTGTAAGGGATTATTTAGAAAAATAACAATAATTATCTCTCTCTTTTTGAACATTTCGTGCATTTGACTTCCAATCTATCATGCCAGCATAGAGTCCTTTTTGGCGTACCCTGCAACCCGATGTTTCACACTGGCAATCAGCCAAACAGAAAAACACTTTTACTCAGATTCCACAGCTCGCGTAGTTTCGAGTATCGTCCTTCCGCGTGGGTCTCAAGCGGTTATGTGAACTTTATAAAGCAAAATTTATTGATCATTATACAAATATATTTGATTATACTAATTGAATATTTCACAACATAAATAAATGGCCGACCACCCTAAAGCAATGCCCCCCAAATTATCTGAAAGGTGTTCTGCCAATCTTTTCCGGCGTTTTTATCCTCAACAGGCCCGTTGTAAGTGATACGGGACGGCCTTACACTCATTTGTGATTTGAAGCTAATTTAAGTAACTATGTGTTCCTCACACATATAACTTCTTAAACATATAGAAGTCTGTTATTGCCTCTTCTACGTGGTGAACATTACTTTTATGTGCCTGTGGGCTGGACAAAAACAAAGTAAACAGGGGCACGCGGCGGAACTATGACGATTACGCACGCAAACCGTTAGAAAGTGTCCAATTAAGTAGCTGCCATGTCAAGTAGAATGTGAAATACTACTTCGCTTTACTTAACAAAAAAAGAATCTTCGAGGACGCTTAAGCTTCGCCTTTAAAAGTGGAACGCGATAGCATTAATGGGCCTCGTTTTCATCGCATTCTCATTGCCGCGCAAGCTTGCCTCATGTGGTCTAATCAAGTGTCTGACTCGGAACCGAAGGGTCTTGGGTTCGAATCCCGCCTAAAGTTCTTAATTTTTTTTCTTTAAGGCAAAGGAATTACTTTAAAAAGTGAAATCATTTGAGACATAAGGCGACCTTTATTCGCATTACATGCCATGTTATGTGACGCAACGCGTGATGTCACGTCTCACGTGAGCATTGTGGGTTGTTTGAAATTCTTGCGCGAGAGCATGTAGCTCTGACGTCATAACCCTATCAACCAATCAGGATTTTCCAGTCACGCTATCGACATCGGCTTTACTGCGACATGACCTCCTTAACGCTATCGCGTTAAAATCAGCAATAAGCAAGGCTGATGCTGATTTGTAAATTAAATTGACCGGCATCTTGTCAAGAACACACCTCAACAGCCGGGCTATGCCAGCTTATCCTGTATAAGAAAATGTTCACTTGGGCAAGCGCTATTTCGGGCCACATTCAATCTGAATGCGAATTAAGGTTCGTATAGATTAGAGCGAACAATTCCGACTACTCCTTGCCTCATGATGAGTTGCATGCATACGCTGCTGAGTGCAAACAATGTTTGGTTAGAACAACAAGCATTTTTATTGCCGCTCGGTGTTTCTATAAAAAATAGACTGAAAGGAATTATTCTAAAACTTTTGTGACATTTTGAAAATTGCATTGCTTTTAGCTCAGTTGTGTCGCCATCATATACTTATATATTGTGAAGCGTATTTCGTAAAATATATTTTATGATATATATAGCCACGAGGTGCTCATTTTATAATTTTATGTGATGTAATTAATTCCTTAGTTCAAGGACACAATCACAATTTCACTTTTAAAATTGCGACATAAAGTTGTACTAATCACGGGTATTTTAGGCGACCTACCGCACTTGGCGACATTTTATACCGTGTAAATAGATCAGCTTGAACTTTAGAATTTTACTTAGACAGGAAGAAAGGACAAGAAAATACATTATAGTTGTAAATTTCAAGCTGATCTATTTACAGGAATGTACCAACAAGCTCAACTCTTTACTCTTGTACTATTCAGGTCAAATATATGTTACTGGTAAACAAAGGGATTTTGAGCCATATGAACACGACGTTAATATACGTCAATCTAGATTTTCTTGGGCTCTTACGACGAAATTAAATAACTGAATTTTGTTATTTGATACCTGAAAAACAAAAGTAAATTGCACGGACGATCAAAGAAACTATATAGTTAATCGTTTCACGGCGTAAATAGTGTATATTGCCAGAACAACGCGGAAAATATATTCTCAATTTCGCGGTTCAAACCGGTTCGAACCGGTTTGAACCGTTATTTTTTGCTCCCCGGAGCTGAACCGTAACCGAACCGAAAGCCGTGAACCGGAATCGATAAAAATTTCGGTTCGACACTCTGGTGAGGACTTTGAAGTGCACCGAAGGCTCTAGGTGCTCCGCATTGTCGTCGGTCTGCCTGTTGGTCGCCGTCTTCACCCTCCTCTTGCCCCCTGGGCCCCCAGCGCACGCCCGGCTCATGCTGCGAGGGGAAGTGGCGGTGCAGGACGCCGTGGTGGCCGTGAGCCTGATGGAGTCTTCGATGCAGAGCTCGGCCCTCGTCGAGAACGTGGATGCCCTGCACACGGGGTTTGCGGAGGACCCCGAGGGGGAGTACTGCAACCAGGGTGAGACGCTGTTCGCCGCTTCTTGCGCATGCAGTCAACTCGATAATTCCAAGCTTGCAGGTATGTCAAAATACTCGTGATTAAGCCAACTTTGAATTAAAGAAAACGCCCTCGAACCACGAGGTTTTTTTTATTTGGTACTCCCCGGGAGATGTTGATTTTTGCTTGCCTCTGAAATTTGCAAAATTTTCTTAGGGTATCTTTGGCAGTTGCTTTGCCAAAGAAAATACTAAGAAATGCTCCGTGGTGCCCGAAGCAACTTCTGCGTCAGTGGCACACGGCTGCTCGCCACGGAAAGTGGTTCGCTTGCTCCTAGGCGTAGCACTCGCACGATTTTACTGTCGGAAGGCAGGCCACAGACCACTGCATGTTTGTTGCCATCCTGACATGACGCCAAAATTAACGCCGTCATTACGCCAATTCTCGACAAAATGCGTTGGGGGGGGTTCTGACTCTACGAAGAATTTGTAATTCCAATTTCGTCTATTTATGGTTGTTTTTGGAGAGCCAGTCTGTTCTCCGAAGTGTCGGCGGTTTCGGATTAGCCACCACAGCTTCCCTTGATTGCCTCCTACGGCCCATATGCGAAATGAGATCTGATATTGAAGTATGGCAAGCAGGAAGCTTCTTAAACCTTGGGACGTTGTGTGCGCCACTTAGATATGTGTATTTGCATTAATTTTCTAATGCGAGCGCAGTTTCAAAGTGTCCGTGAGCTAGCAGACGACACAGCAACCAGGACAGCCCCGTGCGCGTGCTTCCGAGTGATCTGGGAGATGCACGACTGCGCATGCGCGGAACCGTGCTTCATTGCGCGCTTGTCGAGCTTTCGCAGCAGTGAGGGAGACTGCATGGAACGAGCGAGCAAACAGACTGAAAGAGCACAACAGGAACCGTGCTGCAGTGTCGTGAAACCAGTTCAGTCCTAACCACGACCGTCCAAACAAAAGAGCGCTGCATGTACTGGGGCTATAAATGCCAACGCATTTAATATAGTCGACGGACCGAACACGTTGTATGGCTGCGTAATGCCCCGCAACAAGCGTTGTCGGTCGGATGCGCCATCCAGCCATGCTTGCTTCCGTGACTTCTGCGGAGACAATGCCTCGATGTGCCTACCCGCGGCTTTGTTGGCTTGGCCCGGCTTGGCCGCTTAATTGGCTCGGCCGCCTGGCGCATTAGTCGTGCGCTGCACTCATTCTCTTTTTTTGAAGCGCGCGTAACAGACAAAAGCGATCCAAGTGTGCGTGGCTGTGATCGAAGCTTGGTTCGCATCGCGTAATGCTGAGGCTTATCCATGCTCCCGGAGTTGCCAGACTCCTTGAGCGGGCAAAAAGATCTTTCGAATTAACGAGCCTCGGAAATTAAATTTCGCATTACTGCGCATTTTTTCCCATAGACTTGTGCTTGTGACTGCCGGGACCACACCCCCGCTTCAAATATTTAAATAAAGCGATGAATTACCGAGAGTTGACTGGACTAGAAACGCCAGGATTGCGAGCCAATCTTTTTAGATAGATGTTGAGGACGGCATTGAGCGCTTTATAATGAACCTGTTGAATTTTGAGTGAAGCACTGATCTGAATTTTTGGTAGCTCTAAATTGCCTGTTTCGTGTTCCATGAAAGAGTCCAAGCATTGTTTCAAAAGTGCATTAAAATGTAAAAACTCGGGACGATTTAAAACGTCACTTCCACACATCAGTCTATAGGTCCGTAATTTTTTTCCACTGGGATGCCGGGGTTCTGCCCCTAAATACGTACCACATTAACTCGAAACAATTTTGTGGGAAAAAAAGTTAATCCGTATTCAAATCTATACGCCATACTCGAGAAGTATGCATCTGCACGGTTGGGCATCGGTACAATTCCGAACATTTGGTTTCGGTAGCTATGGAGGAATTGCCGAGGCACTTTACGAGACGGTAACCAGTAGACCGTAGCCAGCTGCCGTCTCATCTTTTCCTCGCAGCCAAGGTGATTCTGGCCCGACTGGGACTGCACGACATCCTCGCCCAAGAACTTGAGCTTCACGCACCACGGATGCCTCGTGACGGCGGATTTCTCGTGGACTCCCGTTCGACCGACCCGAAAGATGCACCTCTTGGAGAGGCTACAAACGGCCGCTTTCGAAATGCCGAACCCACGGTGGACAATCGTGACCCGCTGCAACCCGATGCCGGCAATGGAAAAGGCCAGACCCGAGCTTTGACGGAAGACGTGGTCGTGATCGACGCTGCAGAAGTTGGAGAGACCTCGAGAGATTCTCCCAACTTTGCAGTTGGAAGCGGCGCCGGCAAAAGGCGCAGACGACCCAAGACGCGACGGAGCGAAGAGACTGAGAGAGCAGCCGCAACCACGGTCGAGCGGGTCGCACAACCGGAGCCCGAGGGCCGGCAAGACATTGCGAAGCATCTCCGTAAATACGCGTATCAACGTTGTCCTCGACTGTTGACGACGGATACGACCACCCACACGTCGGGAGGGCGGCCCCAAAGTAGCGCGAGCGCATCGTCCTCGTCGGAGAAGAGAAGCGTCGTAAGGAACGTGGAAACGTTGGATGCGAAAACGACGACGGAACGTGCCGAGTTACGGGGCATGGGTGAAAAGACACCCGGCGTCTTGAAGGAAGCGAGCATTGCCGGCGCGAAACGTGAGACTCCGAACGAGACTCCAGAAGGTGATGCGGCAACAGCACGTTCCTTTCGAGGCGCCCACGACAAGCTGAAGAAGTTTGCAGCCACAAAGAGGTTGGACGACTCGTTTGCTTCGAAGGAAAGCAGCTTTTTGGCAATCAACTCTGCATCCCGTGCGGTTGAATCGCGGAAGAACGTTGAGGAGCCACCTGCACAGGAACTGGGAGCAACGGCCAGCTCCGCTACAACGAAACGAAAACTCTTTGGTTTTGGTGACGACGACGAACTCGGCCTGGACGACGCGGACTGGAGGTTCGATCAGTCTCCGAGGGATAAGAAAAGGAAATGAGAGTTTGTGTTGGTGTTCTCGAAACTAGGGAACCAAAAAGCGACAGTTTCGTGACAAGCCCCATCGTGGTGGCACCGGTTTATTGTAATTTAATAAGTTGTTGCAAGATTTTAGTTGTTCTACCTAGAATACTTGGAAGGATCTTGGTATGCCTTCTTAGTTCTACAGTTGAGCGAAGTGTGAGCTTGTGCTAGATGGTTTGCAGCGGACGAATGTGAAAACGGCGCTTAGTCCGACAAAGGTGGCAGCTTCTGCCCTCGACTTCATGCACCGTTTTCAGGCATTTTGTCTTAGTTGGGCTCTTGTACGTGTCGCAATAAATACGAAAGGTAACACTAAATTATTTTCATGCTTTCGACAAAAGGACGTGTATGGGACATAGAATGTGCATTGTTCGGAAATTTGGTTGCTCTTACGTCAGATTACGGAAAAATCTGAACGTTGTTTCGCGGTTCCTTTCAATGTGTTTCACCTCTTTTCAAGTAGCTGGGTGGATATTCACCGTAAGGTCTTGGGTTTTACAAGCACCGGTGTGTTTTGATGAATTGTCTCGTGCAAATGGTAAAAACTGATTATTGGGTTTCCTTTCCCCTGGTTTCCCTTTTCCCCCTTGTTCCGATCATATATAACTGGATTCTGTGGCAATACAATTTCAGCAGTGTTTGAGACTTTTGTCCTTTTTCTGTCGCCACCGCAGTCACGAGTTATTCTCCAATTATGAATTTACTTCCGCCCTCACGTTTTGTTTGATTATTGGGTATTGGGGGAGAGGGAAAATTGCAAATGGGCAAGAATGTTCGAGATGGGTAAGGGTTCAAATTTTACCAACATCTTTTATACACTCTTCACCTCGGGGAAGCATTTATTCTTTTTTTCACACTATATTGGGGTTCCATGATTTTTGCAGGATCCTTTTTCTAAAAATTGGGAATGTTTTTTCGATTGGTTTCTTCCAGCAGATTCAGTGTTCTTCAATGTCTATTTTTAGCATTGGACAAAACATTAAGATTTATGTTGAACAAAAGAAGACGCGCGCATGGGACTCTCAAACCTCCTGGGAACATATGTGTGACCCGAATGGGTACAGTAATCCCTCGTTAACTTGAACTCGGCTATCTCGAAACATTGGTTAAGTTGAAACATTTCTGATAAAATGAACTCTTCTAGGCACAATGCGTATATCTTTTATATCCGATATCTCAAAATCCTGTTAAGAAAGATTACAAAAAAGGAGAAAGAAATTTCAGCGCACAACAAACAATGAACACATGGCTCGAACAATGGTTGACATAGAAACAGCAATCCAAAAACAAAAAGGAAAAGAATAAAAGTTTCGCATCATTGATCATGCAGCAAATGCAAAACAAACAGAAAAAAAAAAAAGTTTTTTGCACGCGTGGAGGGCGTTGAACAGCTTGCTTGTGGGCAATCGAGGCAACCATGCTTTCATTGTAGTATATTTGCTTGTAAATCTGCGAAGATTAAACCATCTAACAAAATTGTTAGATGCTTTATCTTAAATCAAGTGTTTTGCTGTGGTTAATTTTTCAAACATTCTTGAAAGCAAGAAATGCTTTTTAATATTACCCCCAGTCCCAAAATTTTACTTGTCTATGCATTTCCCGTTGAATTTAGTGGGAAAACTGAAGTTGCGTGGCCTACACACCTTGGGGAAATTGACGGTGCGTGACCTATACTGTTTCCCCGCTAAATTTAGCGGAAAAATTCGTGTCTTGTGACCGACAGACAAATCCAGTTTCCCTGCAGAATTTAGGAGGGGAAAATCAATGTCAAGTGGTCTTGCAACCATTCAATTTCCCCGTTAATTTAGCGGGAAATTATACGTCATGTGGTTGACCAAATTTCTCACCCCATCCCTCTCCTCCCTTCCCTCTCTTTTGTTCTCCCCATCCCTCACCCTTCTAGTGACACCACCTAGATAACCCTAGGTCATGTTGCTCCAGCATTTCATGCACTATACACGTTTGCAAGTCCGGTCTCAGGGCGCGCCATCTTGCTCAGTTGGGGTGCACTTGGGCACATCCATAATCCGATTACGAGGGCTTTGCAAGGCTTCGTAATCAGATTATGACGCATCCAAGCGCACCCTAACCAAGCAAGAAGGTGGCGCCCTAAAGCCGGACCTGCGAACGTGCATAGGTAGTATTCACTGGCAGCTACGGCTGTGTGCGCGAATGCCGAGTGCATGCTGATGGCAAGCTTTCAGTTCTTTTGCAACGTGCATTCCACACCGTCAAGGTTGCCGGTCTTAGCAGCCTAATAATGTGAGCTCATTCTGAGCATGTGCTCTAAACAGCGCCCCCAAATATGGCGTCCTTTACCTCCTATAGAACTGAGGGTAAAGGTCATCACAAATTTTTTTTTCCTTAATCCCCATTGTTAGGGGGTGATGGAAGTGTTGCGCCATTGGCGTCAAATTGCACCACGAAACGAGTCTGCTACATCTTGAGCCAAAATGCCATATTTGATCAAAATTGCACCACACCTGCGCCGAGTAGGGCTTGACCGAAGCAGAAAGAAACAAATTTCGATTGACAGAGTATATATTTGAAGAGCTAGAAGAGAAAGAAAATGGTACAAACAAGTATCGCAGTGTCTCCATTCGCTTCAAGTAAAATTCGGACGAAGATCACAGCGACGTCGTCGTCTAAACTTTCGGACGACGATGCCAGCGACGTCGCAAAGCTAAAAGTTTCGAGAAAGCTGAATAAAAGTCCGATATGGTAGCTCCTGTGAGTAGGGGTGTGCAAATATTTGAGATTTCAAATACGAATTGAATATTTTTCTTATTTGATTCGTATTCCATTCAAGAATTGCATATTCGAAAATTTCCAAACATTCGGTTATGGCCAGATATTTGGGCAATGTACGAATATTCGAGGAAATTGCGAATAATCCGCGCGCAGGACGTACCCTGAACATTCAGAGCTACCTTCTGACGCGCAAAAATAAATTTGTCCCGGCAGGAAGTTTTTTTCTTTTCCTTCGTTTTCCCCTCTAATTTTTTTCTCACTTTATGTCCTTGTTGCATACTAAGCATCTCAGCGGCTTATAACTAAAGTTGAGTGTTTTGGATAAATCCGAAAAACTCGGAAAAACACCCGCCGGTAAAATATTGTCTGTTGGGATTTATCTGATAAACACCGAATTTTGATGTGCCAATCGCCCCCCCCCCCACAAAAGTATTTCACAATTAATGGTTTGATCAGCACGTAGAGAGTCCAGGGAAAATGCCACCGCACTTATTTTTTACATTCCGGTCATTGTACTTCACGACAAAAGTCGCTGTTTATGCTTCAAGTGGAAGGAGGGGTTTCGTAACAGTGAAAGCTATGGACCATAGAGATTGCATAAAGTGGGGAAGAGGGGCAGTTGAAACTTCTCTATCACACCCTCTACCTCGCGTGGCCACACAATAGGTTGATGGAATACTATAGAATGAATACAAGCTTCCCAGCGAGAGATGTGGTTGTGTTGTCCCAGTGTTCATTTTGTATTCTTTCTTCATCCATCACTCGAACCAACAAGCTCTTCTCCCAAGTATACCTCCGGGAGTTTATTGATTTTAAGGTATCGACATTTATTGAAACAACACTTGTGTGCAACTTATGTCGCAGGACAAATTAGTATGGCATGTGGTAATGGCACCAATGCCAAATCCAACTGAAGAAAATATTAATTGATACAATTGCTTTGTTTTTTGTCCAGCATACGTTTACACTCGAATATTATTTATTTATTTTTAATAAGGAACACCGCGAAATTAAGCTTTGAATTTCGGAGCATTGGAAATCAAGCAAAAATAAACTCCGATAATCTCATAATTTTTGGCAAAAAATAAACTCCGAAAACACGGAATCGTATAACTCCCCCAACCCGAACTATGGAGATCACTCAAAATGGCAGGAACTGAGCACCAAAAGGGCCGTTGGTATTGTTTGACTCGGATACATGGGTTGCTCTTCGGGCTATTCTGCGACGTGACATGATTAGGCTTCCGTCTATGCAGACTTGCAGGGGGCGGGGTCAGGTGAGGAAAGGGAGGTGGGTGATTGGTATGGCAAGTGCGTAACTCCCACACCACTCAACTCAAGGACCGGCAAATTTTTTCTTTTTTTTTTATATAATGGTGTTGTTGAGTTGCTGGTTGTGTATTCTTATTTTTTTATTTTTCATTATGCATCAAGCTAAGTTTTGGCAGAAAGAGTGCAGATATGTTGCCAACAAACGACAACTCGCATGTAGCGATGCACAACTATGGATAGTAGAAGCCAAATTTAACTCGATAGTTGATGATCAGAAAACGATCAATACTACTCTCGATAGTACACTATCGATACGACTACCAATAGTTGACTATCGTGAAACTCAACATACTATCAATAGTCGACTATCGTATAATTATCTATAGTCGAATATTGAGAAACTATCAATAGCCAACTATCGTAACGCTATCGATGGGGTTTTATTAGATGGCGAAGAGCATCCAAGAAATGTGTAGCTGGGAGGTAAAAAAAAATGCAATTAGGGACTTGCACATAATTATCGGAGAACAATCTAAAACCTATGGGAAAACAATTGCAAAACGGTGGAAATCCTCCTTGGAAACTATCGACAATAAACCATTAAAATATCTAGCGTATGCTATTAAAAAACTAGGAATAAAAAATATTAACTCGATAGGTTGTCAAAGTTTTTTTCCGCCGTTTTAGACTGCTTTCCGGTGTGTGCCCTTTGTTTTCTTTATGAGCTCAATCAGAAAAATGAATATCCCTGTCGCCCCTGATAAGTATGTGTTGCATAAATCCAAAACCCTGCTGGAGTATAAGGCTGGCGATGGTGATGCGCACGTATGGGAACATGACTTTACCCGAATGAAAAGATAAGTGTGGCATTTTTTTTAAACAGATTGCAAGAAAGGAAGGAATCAATGTTGTCTTTCGGATCCGAGAGCCTTTTTCACTAAAGTAGTGCCTGCTTGTCAGCAATATTGTTACTTGTATCGCAAGAAATTTCAGTTTTTATCATTTATTTTTGATCCAGTTAACATTATGTACCAAAATTTATTGTATTTGAAGAATGGAAAAACTAAATGCATGTTTTCTTGGTATAAGCTTTTTATCTAGTGATATTCAATTTCAAGTCTGCACAATTAACAAACTGTCTTACATTTGTCGATTCAAATATATTTATTTATAGATTATGTGATGGCTTCAGTATTTTGAAGTTGTATTTTATACCAACCGGTAAATATTTTCCCAGACACCGTTATTAAACTCTGCCAACATAGATCCAAACAAAAAGTGGCAACATATGGCACTCAAGCCCAAGTGCTTTCGTCAACAGCTTATTCCCTATTTTTGAAAATTCGCTATAAATAATCATTGGGAGAAAAAAAAAAATTATGATTCCAAGCCGAGTGCTCATTTTTACCTGTCGGTGGTCAAGGCTAGGAAAAGGAATATGTGTCTATTGGATAATAAAGGAAATGCAAGCGTTAACATTCACCTGTAAGTGGTCAAGGCTATGAAAAGGAATGTGTCCATGGAATAATAAAGGAAACGCAAGGCATGAAACAAAGTTGTCAAAGACCCTGATGCTAAATGTCTTCAGCAAGTGTTTTCCCTAGCCTCGAGACAATAAAATG